CGGAAGGGTACCGTTGAGATGGAGGCCAGCATCATGGACGGCCACGGCCGCCGCTGCGGCGCCGTATCCGGTCTCACCACCGTCAAGAACCCCGTCTCCCTTGCTCGCCTCGTCATGGACAGATCCCCTCATTCCTACCTCGCTTTCGACGGCGCCGAGGAATTCGCCCGCGAACAGGTCCTCCCCTTCCTCCTCTCCTCTCTTCCTCTCTCTCTCTCTCTAACACACACATCTGCTGTTTCATCGAGTGCAAGCGCGTAGTACGATCTTGCTGATCTCACAGTGCAGAGGGTCATCAGCATATGGTGCTAAAAGGCGCTGCAGTGCGTTTTGGGTGCATTAGCATATCAATATTCTCAATTGTTGCACACCAAACACACGTCGCAGAACCATCCACTATAAATTGCCAAAACCAAACTGCACTCGCGTGCCAAATGGTCTCACTTCCGCCGTCACTTCCAAGAAGAACACAGCACACACCATCATGCATGTAAAGCACCACGTAAACCATGGTCAAAACAGAGTTGACCGTAAAGCAGGCACGAGGACAGGGCACGCAGACGTAAGGTGGCACGTGCCAACCTCAATCCATCGTGTAAGTTGAGATGCGCTGCCACACAATAAGATAGAACAGAAAACACTTGTCCCGAAAACTTTTGTCTCTTTGTCATTTCATCGAACATGCTAGCTAATGGGAGGAGGCTGATGTTAACGGTGATGCGTCGTCTTCTTGGAGCTTCTTTACCCAAGTCTCACAGGTGGTTAACATTGTGTGCTCTTCCCGTTGTAGGGTGTTGAAGTGGTGGACAATAGCTATTTTATCACGGAAGAGAACATGAGCATGCTGAAACGGGCAAAGGAGGCTAACAGCATCATGGTTTGTGACTTTGGCCTCTCGTGCATCATTTCCTTCCTAAACATAGAAGAAGAAGAAGAGAGACTGGGAAAGCTGTTAATTATATTGATCTGCTTCTTATTCTTGGTGAGCAACGTAGTATGATTATAGAGTTCCAGCGCCGGGTGTGGACAGCGCCAGTGCCGGACTAGAGGGTGCGAAAGTGGAGAACGGTCTGCTGATGAACGGCCTCCGCATCAGCGTCTACGCGCCGGAGACCGTGGGGTGTGTGGTGGTCGACAGCAACGGGTGGTGTGCTGCCGCAACGTCCACCGGGGGGCTCATGAACAAGATGAGCGGTCGCATCGGCGACTCACCCCTGATCGGCTCCGGCACCTACGCCTGCGGTGACTGCGCCGTCTCGTGCACCGGGGAGGGTGAGGCCATCATCCGCAGCACACTGGCGAGGGACGTGGCAGCGCTGGTGGAGTACAAGGGGCTCAGCCTGCAGGAGGCCGTGGACTACGCCATCAAGGAGAGGTTAGACGAGGGCATGGCCGGGCTCATCGCTGTGTCCAGAAATGGTGAGGTTGCGTACGGGTTCAACACTATAGGGATGTTCAGGGGATGTGCGACGGAGGATGGATTCATGGAGGTGAGTATATGGTAGACGCACTGTCTCCGCAAGATCCGTCAGCAGCCTCCACAAAGAATGTAGCAATCTCTGTTTATGATGGTAAAAATCTTCTTCCAAATCCAAGGGATCACTTAATATGCTTGATCAAGAGATGAAGCCTAGTAAGCAATTTTAGGAGCTTCGACTTGCTCATCTGTTTGTGCTGCAGCTGCAAATTACGCAGCAGCAGCAGCAGTAGCATGCAATAGTGAATTAACATCAGTGATGATCCTTATACTTTGAAAGACTACTGCAAGATAATGTAAATGTACATAATTGAGATCATAATGTGAAAGTTACCAGGAAGAAATCAAAGATACATGATTTAGATTTCAGTATATCATTAACTAGCCTCATCCTCCATTGTCACACATCTAACTAGAAGATTTAAGCTGATACTCCAATGATGTGGCCAAACCATCAATGAGGACGTAGAAGCCAGAAGCTACATGCAAGTAACCTGCAGCCTTAGCTGTTTCCCCTCAACATCCGTATGGCTCAGGCCTTGATAGGGTAAACCCTAACTTGATCCAACACAGGCCCGCAGAGAGATCCGGGATTGCTGACGCTGATGTGGTAGTACGCAGCGTAGAATGTGATCCGAGTCCTGTTCGCCAGTGCCATAAACCTCAAGCTTGCAGCTTGGTGTCCACCTTTTCCCTGAGAGTGGAATCGCGCCTTCACCGTCCCATTGCCTGCGAAAGCTTCCACCATCATCGAACCATGGCAACCGTTCTTCGCATCACCCACCACAAAGCTGAGTTCGTAGACCCTGTTGCTGATGGTCCTGATAACCTGCGCGATGACGCTTTCCCTTCCTGCGACGAGCTCCACCGCGAACTGCCCGAACGGGACGGTGTGATGCTCTGCGTCGATGAACCTGACGGCCTTGAGATTCGATGATCCAGCCAGGGAGGGGAGATGTGCGGTCTTCCTGCTTGGGAGGAAGGAGGACGCCGGTTGTGGAGTTTTGGAAGACATGAGGCCCTTCTTCGAAGCCGCCATTCTTAACCAGGTTGTCTGCAGTTAAAGGATCGTCTTAGATCGCACCTCTTCTGCGCTATCAGCTCCATGCTGATCTCGCAGACTTGTAATGGTTGAGCTTTCACGTCTCGTAGGCATCGGAGGGAAGAGGGCCACAGTGATAACAGAGATATTTCCTCAACTGCATAGAAGATGAGATTTATGAGACAATCTCTCTGATCTTATCTTTCACCATGTATAAATAAACTTCATATGATACTAATTGAAGTATATTTTTCTTCATTCTCTCATTTCTTTATGGTATCATAGCAGTGAGAAAAGCGAAGCTTCACTCTTGCCTTTGACCAGCGACCAACGTCGTTGAGAAAAGTTGGCCAGCGACCAACTTCGTTGAGAAAAGTGAAGCCCTTGTCTTCGGCCAGCATACTTCAGGGTATGTGGTTGTTGCTGAACTCAATTGAGTCACAAATCTCCTGTCAATCTAGTGTTCCACTCATGTATGAAACACATTGCCATCGACTTTCACTTCATGCGAGATCAAGTTGTCAGACATCAACTTCGTATCTTATCTTTCACCGTGTATAAATAGACTTCATATGATACTGTGTTTTTCTTCGTTCTCTCATTTCTTCACACAGCGTCGAAGAGCGGTCCACACGCTGGGTCTTCCTCGATCCCGACGTTGTGGAAGATCACCTGCACCGTTGTCTTGGTCGGTATAAAGCCCCAGGCGTAGGTATCGCCACCGGTGCTGCTGTAAAGAGTCTGAATCGGGAGGTCTCCGGCGAGCGGCGGCACCGAGACCCTCAGCACCTCATCCTGGGCGCAGGTCCTGGTGGCGCTGAAAGTGAGGGAGTAGAGGGTGCCTGGCTCGACGGTGATGTCCTGGGAGACGGAGGCGTCGTTGCCGAGTCGAACAGCATGGACGCCGTGGGGCACGGTGAAGTACATGCCGCCTGGCTGCGGGCCGCCGGAGATTTACTCGACATGGCCCCGGATGGTCCATCTGGGGAGGGATTTCTTCCCCATGATGGCAGTCTTGTTGAGCTCGTCTTCCCTCGGGCCGGTCTCGAAGTTGCCATTGGCAAGGAATCCTGCAAGTTAATGGAAGGAAGCCAACAATCCATCTCAATCATGAAGCAATCAAGAGAATATAGAAAAGCTTCGCCATATATATATATCCACAAAGGAGATTTTGTTAAGCTGGTAACCATCAAGAAACTGAGCCTTGAGAACACTGATGTAGCAGGAAAGGAGCAAAAGAAAAAGATGCAGAGCACCCATCTCTGTTCTCAGTGAAGCAAGCAGAGATGAGACTGAGCTCAGGGACTGTGAGAGCTGTATATATATCCACAGCACAAAATCCAGTCCACCTCCATGGCTTTGTGATCTGATCTACAGACATGTGTGATGGCAGAAGCCTGCCGGATTGCTGCAGTGGTCATTACAGCTTGCTTCCTTAAAAGGATGGCAGAAACAGCTCAAGTGATTCCAAGCAGACTCCGCAGTGCCACTATGCATGCATGGGTCGGCTTCAAAACAATAGGTGCCGTGTCAGAATCACGTGGCTTTCACCATGGACGCAGGGAGACCACCCGGCTCGTCATCAACTCCGAGAGAAAGAACATGAACAAGCGGATAGGAAAAGCCTGCGATCATGAGCTCCATGCGGCGATTCCGCATGCCTGTCCCACTTCACAACGCTGTCTCACATGGCGAGGAGAAGGTTATAGATTCTTAATCACGTGCTGGGAGAGGACTTTGGTGCTCAGCTTCCAAAAGAATTAGAAGAGTGCGATGTCAGTGTTGCCATCTCCAACATTGGATGGTTCTGACCTTGTGTACACTACGTTTTCCCTCTTTAACTGTTCTTGATCCTCCGGCTTACTGTTCACTGATCACAGAGGACGAGGAATCCTTTGATTGCAGATCGGATCGGGCCGGAGTGGACACAGAGATCCACAGTAAAAGAAAGGCATTTCTGGGAGGAGATGAGAACAGAGCAGAGGAATAGCTGAATGCCGTCTCCCTCGCCTCCGCGACCGGAGACGGCGTCGCTACCGAGCAGCGCGCACGTGGTGGCGGTGCCGTAAATACATCAATTAAATGTATTCACGCGAATAAAAATTAGCATCATCAATCCAAGGTTTTGATGATAAGATATTGATGGTAGACATCCATCATATTTTGGTGATGGATCATTTGATTTGATCATAAATGCTCGCTTTGATAGAGTCTCTGTTTGATTCGATCAAATCAACTTTCGATATTTATTACTTATTTAAAATGGATGGATAATTGAGGTTAAATGAATTCTACTTAAAATTTGTACTTGAAAGATCGCATTTTGCATCACCAGCACATCATTCATTCATGGGTTGACCACAACTATCTATGACTCCCAATGATACCATCGTTCATTACTATTGACAACATCCGTCATCATTAATTGAAATATTAAAATTATTATTTTTTATTTAAATAGACTTAAGTGTTTCATTCTATGTCAATATAATTTTTTAAAATATAATGATCAAAATATTAAAGATAGTTAACTATGTTATAATAATAATAAATTATAAAAAAGATAAACATTTCCACTATGGCAAATTTGATATGACTATCAAAAATACTCTCTCATACATTATGATTACAGGAGATGTGACACAAAGATATCCAGAGACAAGTTATCTGACTACATTATTCAAAATATGATGATATAACACACAACACTTATTCCCCACCTCAACGACTTTTCACATGTAAGTCGATGCGTTCTGCTGGCCTTTTTCTTTGCTTTGGTTGTACGTGGTTTGTTTGGTAAACATCATTGTTAGCCACAGTACATAGTCCTGTTATAAGTCTTTCTCTCTCTCTCTCTCTATGCATGTATGTTTGTCCCTCTCTTAATTTGGATGGGTGTGGCTTGTTTGATAGCATTGTTGTTAGCCACTGTGGTCCTATTTTCTCTCTCTATATGTATGTATCACTTGCTTGATTTTGTTGTGTTTTGTTTGTTAGATAGCATTGCTATTATCCATAGTGGTCCTGTTATATATATATATATATATATATATATATATATATATATATATATAATTTATATTTTTATATGTTTGTTGAGTCTGTTTAATCCAGTTGTTTATTGAGTCTGTTTAGTTCAGTTAGAATTGGGTAGAGATTTATTAAATATTTATTTATTATTAAGAGTCCTCTTGGTAGATTTTAGGTGAAACTCTATGAATAATGATGTAACCATTTCTTTAAATCAATCAATCAATGAAATGTTATTTCACTTTGTGAATAAACTCTAAGAGACCGATCCCCTCGAAGTGATCAAGGAGACTGATCCCCTCGAAGCGATCAAGGAGGCTGATCCCCTTGAAGCGATTATTATCATTCCCTTTTTTTCCCATTTCTTCCATGATAAGACCTTAGAGTATTATCAATTGGTATCAGAGCGATGATAAGACTTTATTTATCATTTGATATCATAACCTTATCATTTTTTTTACGATAAGACTTTAAGGTCTTATCATTTGGTATCAGACGATAAGACTTTAGAGTCTTATCATTTGGTATCAGAGTCTTATCATTTCATTTGGTATCAGAGTCTTATCATTTGGTATTAGAGCCTTATCATTTCTTTCATTTCTTTTACGATAAAACTTTACTTTAGGATCTTATCATTACGTTGATGTTCAACTAGAAAGATTAACTATGAATGTAGCATGTATTTGTTTTGATTTATGAATTGTTAATTTAATCTCATATTTCAGTGAATTGCATCAGAGTGTAGGCAGTTAGAATATGTCCAAACCAAAGAAAGTTCAAGAACACAAGCACAGGACCATTCCAGCCAACAATGCCATAAATGCTGCAAGATATATCCAACATTTACCACATGACTGACAGATTCAGGCACTAACAGTACACAGAAAAATATAGATCAGCATGCCAAAGATGAACACCAAGGAACTGAACATGAAATCTTGCGTTACACCAGCAGGAAGTGTTGGCACTTGAATCATCACACAACATGAGGAGACAGGAAATGAGTGAAGAGAGTTCACTGGAACTACTATGGGTGGACAGGACATGAAAAGGAACAGTGCATAAATCAATAGATGAGATATAGCAAATTAAAGATCTCACCAACTCACCACCAAAGTAAGTACCATGCAGATGAGAAATAGTTTTTGGATCACCAAGACTAAGCTTTTCTTGGGGTCATCCTCATCACCCAGTCATAAATTCTAACTGGCCATGACACACAAATGCCAACCTGAGGAAATATATGCAAATAAAACATGTAGCCAGACATTGATAATATTAGGAACCATGCAAATAAATCCAATAGATCCTTTAACAAGTTCTCAAATAAACTAGCCATGGTCATAAGAAAGAACAACTCCTGCCATATGGTTCAATACCAAACTAATCAAATCTTATTATCTCTCACAGTCTCACGACTAATAATTCATGGCAAGGCCACCGGAGACAGCAGCAGATGCAAACACAGAAAGAGCAACAGCAATCAACCCTGGAAGAGCTCTTGTGCCGCTGTTAGCTCCAGGGGTGGCTGCCGGAGTGGAGATGCCTCCACTACCACCACCGGGAGTTGAGGCAGCAGGGGAGGGGGAAGGAGATGCGGTGGGCGAGGTGGAAGGGGCAGCAGAGGAGGCAGACTTGGAGATCTTGATGTCCACCTTCTGGCCACCGCTGCAGTGTCCAGGGATGCCACAGATGAAGTAGCGGTGGCCCTTGGTCTTGATCGTGATGGTGTCATTACCGGTGGCAAATGTGGCCATGGGCGATGCTGCATTGCAGGAGTGGTAGTCGGCCTTGCTCACCTCAAGCACGTTGTGGAAGCTTTTGTTGTACTCAAACACTGCCAACACATATGAACACTTGAGCTCAAACGTGGTTGATTGACCCGAGAAACATTTCTTGTCCAACAATCTACAACACATCCTTTTGGTGGCGTGAGGTAAAAATATGAGTTTTAGATCTACACTCGATTTATCATGAGCAGTGCATCTTCCTAGAATAACTCCGTGATTTGTTAATCCTAAAAAAATTGTACTTTAAATCAGGAAATTTTCTCTCCAGTAAACATGTTGGAGAAGATACCAATCTCAGTGTGGAATGAAACTGCACTTGCAACATCTGTGCAAACAGGAGGGGGAAACAAAGAAAAATTATAGTTGACAGCACCTCAGTTCACGGACAAGAGAAGGGAGGACAGCAAGCAAGAGTAGTGTGCTCCTCCATTAACTGCGGTGCCGCACATTCCGCTTTCATAATTGGCCTGCATGTGACTACATAGAAGAATCCCAAAGCTATTGATCTGCCATTTAATATCTCTAATGTCCACTTCTCATTCCTAGTTTTACTCCATTCTCTATTAATCCTTAGGTAGATCACAAAGAACTCTTTCAAACATTTCTACAATGCCAAGAATCAACCAAAAAACAAAGAAAACATAATATCTTGAGGAGGCAAATAAAAAAATTGGGGAACTCAGGTAGAGAAAATCAGAAAACAAAAAAGGTTGGAAGGCTGCCAACACATTCTTTAGTACAAATTTGGTGTATGAGAAAGGTAATGAGAGAAATAGTGTAAGACAAGACTCTGCATTTCCCAAAAATGCAAGATTTAGTTGGTATTATTGTCTTTTAAGCATAGTAAATGGTAATAATATATCAACCAACAAAATTTTAGATTTATGAGTTTCTACTTGTAAAAATAAGACAACAACATTGGCTAACCCAACCTTAGATCAAAAACCTACAAGAAAGAGAAAAGAAATGCATGGAATCTTGAGTTAAAAACATAAAGAATAAAAAGGGACCATGAAAGAAGGAAAAAAGAAGCTTTGTAGGTTATCATACAAAGTTGTTAATGTTGTCTCCCAGCTGATACTTAAAAAAGATTGTTAAATCGAAACTAAATCTCGAAGAAAAATGACATCTTGAGCCAGAGAAAACTCAGGAACAATAAAAGGTTTGCAGGTCATCATGCAATCGACTTGGCAGGAAGGAGAAAGAAAGAAGATGACTCACCAATGGTGTCTCCCACTTCGAATTTCTTGGACAACGCCCAGGCGGTGTAGTTCGGGCTCCCCATGATGGTCCATCCGGTGGCATCCCCAACCTTGTAGACAGCACCCTCCGACAGCCCTACGCCGGCGGCGAGAAGGAACGCCAACACCAACGCCATTGCCGTTGCCATGACCTTCACCATGGCCGAACCAGAGAGAGAAACAGAGACAGAGACGGAGAGAGAGAGAGAGAGAGGGAGAAGACCGGGGCACACGGGATGCTCCTCCGTAGTGTGACTACTCTTCTAGTAGTAAAAGGCAGTGGCACTTTGTAAGGCTTCATAAATAATAGCCTCCCCATATGGTTTTATTATACCATCTTAAATATAATAATAGTATAAAGGCGATTTCATAGAAGCATCATATTTAAAGTGTTTTCCATAACAAGCCTCCCATTTCTATATTTTCAAAACAAAAAAACCTTTTTTCTTTAAAAAAAAATCAAAATACCCTTAAAAAATAGTTTCAGACCAAAAATCTAATTTGAATTAAACCGATCTATATTATAGTATTTTTTTTGTTTATAGTATTTTTATAAGGAGTCATAGTGATTTTGATTTATAGTTTTTCAATGGAGCTACAATGCCTTTAATTACTGAATCAAAAACATTGTAATTATATAAAAATATTATAATTGGATGATATCTTGTTATTTTTGTTATTTTTCCTTCATAACAAATTATTATAAATATGATAATATTTTTTCAAAAAATATTTAAATCTAAATATAAGAGAGAGAAAGTGGGGGAAAAAATAGAAATTTTAATACTATTTATTTTAAAATATGTCAAGACCTTCATAATTTTCATACAAAATCATTTAAATTCTCATATTACTAATGCCTCCAAACTTTACTAATGTTATGGTGCTTTGATTGAACAATGAAATCATTGTAAAATTAAGAAATATTTTAACTGGTCATTTTAATATGTTTGAATTTAAGGTTAATTTTATTTTCAAATATGTCAAAATATTTAAAATTTTCATTCAAAGCCATTTGAGAACTCTTAAATAAAATAATTTATGAAACTTTAATAAATATAAAAAATTAATAATTAATATTTATAAGAATTTGAATTAATAATTAATGGGGTTTCTGAATGAGGTTAGTAAAAGAATACTATAGTTATATTTAAAACTAATTTATTTAATTGAATCTAAAATATTATAATCCTATTCAAAAATATTATATTAATCCCGCTTAATACCAAATCGGTTTAAATCAAACTAATTTAAGATCAAATTGATTGAGCTGATTTCACATAAACTAAAAAATTAAGGCTTTCAACTATCAATAATAATATTTTTATCATATTAAAAATAAAGATACTTGTGGATTGAGAGATATTGGAGGAAAATATCATTGACTTCTTAATCAGTCCGATATGATTTAGACCTGTATACATAGAGTTATTCTATATATTCCGGAGATAGAAGTGACGAACTATTTAGATATTAGAAGATTAAGATTAGAAAAATATTTTCTGACCCAGTCTCTTTGATATTTAAATCAGTAACTTAAGGTATGTAAGTACATATATAAATAGCTAAGAGAAGTTTTTTATTTTTTTATATTAAAAAAAAGCTTTTATACTTGATCATAAAAGAAATATGTGATTATCTTTCGATGAGAAGGATACTCTCAATTATAAATAATGATTCATCTTATCCTTTTTCATTGGGCATGATATGATGATGATATATTAAATGATTAATTGATAATATATCTCATATCAAGAGATTTATCAATAAAAACTCAAAAGTTAGGATCTTTGTTCAAAATTCGACCAAAGTATAACTAATAATAAAAGCTAAAAATGACCAAATATTTTGTGCCATTAAATGCCGACCAATTACTGCAAGAGCTATATAGTTTACACAAGCTAATGGGCAATATAGAGTATTAATATAGAGTAGAGCCTATATACAAAAAAAATGAAGGAATATATATAGATGGTTTTGAAGAATCATGAGTGGATCAATTCCTTTGTGATTGGAAAGAGAGTGAAAAGATGAGAGAGTCACAATCTCTCATCTTAAGCAGAAGAATTCTTTGATCTATCAACCTAAATTCCTCATCGGCCTTCTTCTCAATCCAAAGTCTCCTTGTCTTTGTAGCAAAGTACCTATAGACCCACTGCATGTTCTTTGGTGTTGAGACACACACCAAAAACAACGTTGGATCTGACAGCATTATGGGACCTCCAAGCACATGTGAAGAGGCTGTGGACTAAGGAACATTAGCTGCTTTATTTCTTTGTGAGTATGCCATTGTGGATGTGATTTCAGCTTTGGCATGAGTCCAGCTATTGGCCACTTAGTTCAACTTTGGCCATCACTGTTAAGTTTCAGCTGAATTAGGGCAAACACTATAGAGAAATAGACCAATCCTGGATTTTTGGTGACACATAAACACTGTCATTGTCACTGATATTGTCAAAAAATAAGAAAAGAAAATTTTGTCCCCCTATTTTCATCACTATGAAATTTGAATTTTTATATTACTTATCTATTTTTTTCTCTCATCACTAATAAGTAATATAAAATATTATCAGAACTGTGCATATATGAAGTGGGTATAATGGTTTTGAGGTAAAAAAAAAACACTTAAAATGTCTCCGAGAGATGTAGAAGATTTCATGTAATGGTTTTCTTGGACATTCCTTTATGACCTTTTCTTTTTTATGTTTCATATTTGTATCTTCTTTATTAACTTGTCACACAAGACGATTGTCGAAAATAAATAGGAAATGCCAAAAACAAGTTTTATATTTACATGTTATTTAATATATTTTTTATTTTCTTCTCCTTATTTCTCTCCTACATTTTACTAATGAGAAGAGGTAATATAGTCTATCTATCAATATTTCCTTTGTTTATATTGTTTCTCTATAATTCTTTTCATATAGCTGTTGTAGAAAGATTTTGATGTAATTATAGGTTACCACATTTGATCGTCTTAAACCATTCCTTCCAATTTTGCTTCTTAAATTTTTAATGGAATGCTATTGAATTAGAGACTCTGATAGAAATATCTTTCTATCATTTCAACAACAATGCTTCATTTTTCTTGGACACAGTGGACTGGTAAAAGAATAGATCAGAATTGCAGGCCCAATTCAAGATGCAGCTCAGCTACAACAATGCAATGTGATCCATATCCATCTGAAGAGTAACATATGGATCCATTTGCACTGAGTTTAGCTTGACAGCAACAGTATGAACTCTCTCTCTCTCTCTCTCTCTCTCTCTCA